ATTTATTCAGAACTTAAATGGGGCATGAGGTGCCATGGACCTAATTTCAGGATTGTGGTCTTTGTTTTGATGAAAGGTTGTAAAGAATATTGTAAGTGTGGAGTCTCATGTAAATATTTGCTTGAGATATACCAAAAATATATTTATAACCCAGCAAATTATTAATAGTACAATTTAATCATTTAAATCCGGGGTACTTAACTTTGGAAGCCCAAAGGCTACAAGGATACTCACAGTGTGTGCCGAGGGCTGTAACTTATGTCTGGTTGCATATATATGCAAATTGTTTCTTTCACACTGATGGGCATGAATACAAAGATTAAGGCAAGACTACACTACATTCAGGCCCCATTTAAGTCAATTCTGCTGATATTAATAAAATGCAATATTTACCCGATTTCTGCCCATATGCCAGCACTTTTAATGAGCAATAGCGACAAGGAGTCCAGTGGCACCTTATAAACTAACAGATGTATTGGAGCATGAGCTTTTGTGGACAAAGACCCACTTCATCAGCTTATGTTCCATCTGTTAGTTTAAAAGGTGCCACTGAACTCCTTGTTGCTTTTGCAGATCTAGACTAACACGGCTACATTTCTATTGCTAATGAGCAATGACGGTCCTGGAATTTAACTACTAAAACAAATATCAACAAAAGACAATTATACTGACTACTTTTTTGTTTTGGCTTCACAATTTTAAAAAATCAAACAAAAACTGCCAATATAGTAGTGGAATTTACTGGAGTATCAATACAACCAATGTGAAGATTGTGTCTGCAAACTTTTCACTGGCTCTTTCACATCAGGCTTGTATTCTGTTGTAGCAGCACGGAGACAGTCGGTCAGATGTCTGTCAGTGAGGCTACGTCTACACTGCCATGTCCAGGGAACCATCTGCTTTTTCGGAAACTGTTCCAAAAAAGTGGGCTCATTCTTTCGGCATCCCTGTATTCCTCATTTTATGAGGAAAAAGGAATCTTCCAAAAGAGGAGGTTTTTCCAACATCAGAGAAGAAAGTTTTTTTTCTTTGCCTTGAAGTTGAAGATAGAGTAATTGAGTGCATGAAAGTGGCAAGTCATATCAGGAAGAAAAGCCATGTTTAGCAGGAAAATCTCTTTGTCTAAACATGACAGTAAATCTTGGCGATCCTTTGCCTCCAAAAACACTCGTACAGCATGCAGTAGATCCATAAACCGATCTAACACTTTGCCATGCCTTAGCCTTCTAATTCCTGCAACCTTTGTCAAGTCACCAGATTGTGTTCCGTACTCACCAAGCCCGTCAGGATCACCTGTCATAAGCTTCAAGATCATAGAGCTGGAAGAGACCTCAGGAAGTCATCAAATCCACCCCCTGCCCAAGGCAGGACCAATCCCAACTAAATCAACCCAGGAAAGGCTTTTTCAAGCTGAGACTTAAAAATTTCTAGGGCTGGAGATTCCACCACCTCCCTAGGTAACCCATTCCAGTGCTTCACCACCCTCCTAGGAAAATAGTTTTTCCAAATATCCAACCTAGACCTCCCCCACTGTAACTTGAGACCATTGCTACTTGTTTTGCCATGCGTCACTACTGAGAACAGTCTCTCTCTCCTCTTTGGAACCTCCCTTCAGGAAGTTGGAGGCTGCTATCAAATCCCCCCTCACTCTTCTGTAGACTAAACAAACCCAGATCCCTCAGTCTCTCCTCATAGGTCATGTGCTCCAGCCCCCTAATCATTTTGGTTGCCCTCTGCTGGACCCTCTCAAATGCAACCCCATCCTTTTTATAATGGGGGGCCCAGAACAGGACACACTAGTCCAGATGTGGCCTCACTAGAGCTGAATTAAGGGGAATAATCACTTCTCTAGATCTGCTGGCAGTGCTCCTCCTTATGCAACCTAATATGCCATTGGCCTTCTTGGCCACAAGGGCACACTGTTGACTTTTATCTAGCTTCTCATCCACTGTAACCCCCAGGTCCTTTTCTGCAGAACTGCTACTTATCCATTTGGTCCCCAGCCTGTAACAATGCTTGGGATTCTTCCGTCCCAAGTGCAGGACTCTACACTTGTCCTTGTTGAACCTCATCAGATTTCTTTTGGCCCAGTCCTCTAATCTGTCCAGGTCACTCTGGACCTTGTCCCTCTCCTCCAGCTTAATGTCCCCCAGTTACCTCTCCCCCTACCTTAATGTCATCTGCAAACTTGCTGAGGGTACACTCTATCCCCTCATCCAGGCTATTAATAAAGATGTTTAACAAAACCAGTCCAGGAACAGATCCTTGGGGCACTCAGCTAGAAACCAACTGCCAATCTGACATCGAGCCATTGATCACTATCTGTTGGGCCTGACAGTCTATCCAGCTTTCTATCCATCTTACAGTCAATTTATCCAATCCATATTCCCTTAACTTGCTGACAAGAATATCGTGGGAGACTGTATCAAAAGCTTTGCTAAAGTTAAGGTATATCACGTCCACCAACTTTCCCATATCCACAGAGCCAGTTACCTCATCATAGAAGCTAATCAGATTGGTCAGGCACAACTTGCCCTTAGTGAATCCATGTTGAGTATTCCTGATCACTTATCCCTCTTCCAAGTGCTTCAGAATGGATTCTTGGAGGATCCCCTCCATGATTTTTCCAGGAACTGAAGTAAGGCTGACTGGTCTGTAGTTCCCTGGATTGTCCTTCTTCCCTTTTTAAAAGATAGCACTATATTTGCCTTTTTCCAATAATCCGGGAGCTCTCCTGATGTCCATGAGTTTTCAAAGATAAAGGCCAAAGGCTCTGCAATGACATTTGCCAACTCCCTCAGTACCCTTGGATGCATTAAATCTGAGCCCATGGATTTGTGTATGTTTAGCTTTTCTAAATAGTTCCTAACTTGTTCTTTCCCCACCAAGGGCTGTCCACTTCCTTCCCATACTGCGTTGTCTAGTGCATTTGTCTGGGAGCTGACCTTGTCCATGAAGACAGAGGCAAAAAAAGCTAAACTGAAGCTCAAAATTGTCTGTTTCAAGGCCTTTACAACAATGAAGCTGATGATTTTTGTGACGCTATCCATTGTGCTCTTGACAGTTTGCTGCATATCTGTTCTTGGTGCAGAATGCAATGGTATGAAAAGAGATCTGGAAACTGTCTTTCTTCAGTAATGAAGTTAGCTCCTTCTCTTTTCCAACCATGGATGGCATGCCATCAGTTCTTCTTCAAATGCCTTTTCCCGGTCCTTCTAAAACAAGGCCATCCACACAGAACAAACATCCTCTCCCCTAGTTTGACCTGTCAAAGGTAACAGTGTAAGCATTTCTTCGATATACTTTTTTTGCCATTGAAAAAATGCACCTAAATTATGAGCTGAGATATGAACAATCAGTAGATTCGTCCATTGACAGACTGAAATACTCAGTGCTTTGAATGTCTTTTAGCAATTTAGAAAACAGACCTCCTGAAATGCTTTAAATTCATCTTACTACAGTTGAATCAGACATTCCATTTTAATATTTGTTTAATTATATTCTCTTTGTTTTTAAATTCTGCAAAAAGTGATTCACTGCTGTCTAAGAAGCACTGCTTTATCAATTCACCTTTGATAAAAGGTGCTTTTGATTTAGCTATGTGCCAAGCCATTTTGAGGGAGGCTTCTGTAATGGCATCTTTGTCTTTAACTTGAGAACAGAACATATCATGTTGAGTATGGAAATTTTCAAGAAAGGAACATATCTTAGTTTTTCTTAAATTGCTATCAGGTGGATACAACTCTTTGAACTCAGGGTGACAAGATTCATGGTGCCATTCCAGGTTTGTTTTCTTTAACGCAGTGATAGTCTTTTGACAAAGAAGACACATTGGTTTTCCATGTATCTCTGCAAAAGTGAATTCCATCTCACAAACAGGGTTGAAAAACCCTGTGTTCATCCAACAAGCATCTCTTCTTTGTTGCCATTTTTAATGCTTCTTCTTAAAAAGAAAATCGTATACCAGTGTTTTGGGTGTTTAGCTTGAAGCTTCAGGTTGTGTGTTTCTTGGAGTGATTTTATCATAAAAAGTTTTCAAGCCAGAGTGCTCCAACCTGTGGTGGGCAGGGAGCTGGGTGAGTCAGGCTGGATATGAGCGGCAAAAAAGGACAGTTGCTAAGGAGACCCGTCCTAGATTCCCAGTAGGACTGACATCCCTACGTGGGAGTCCGTCACTCCGTGCGGGATGGAGGCAGGACTGCCTGGCTGCAGCACCGAACCCAAATGTGGCTAGTGTGAGCCAGTCAGCACCTCTTAGGCTTTGCCCACAAGACTAAGTAGCCAGCACTTCACACAATGCCCTGGCACGCCCGGCACCTCCTCCCTGGGGATTAGAAATGCCGACACCCCGTACCCGTCTGTTCCAGCCAGCCCATCCACTTGCGACTTTCAGTGTTCACCCCACTTGGGAGATGCCTCGCCATTGTGGAGCATGTTCCCAGTGGAGGCCTTGTTCAAAAGTTCCCACCTGCAGGCTGTGTGTTGAGCCCCGCATTAACCCAAACCATCCCATGGCCACAAATAAACGGGCCACAGGTTGCATGCAGCCTGCGGGCCGCATGTTGAGTAGCTGTGTTTTAAATGGCTTCATGAAGATAGGTGTGTGTTCACAATTTTGACTCTGAGTCATTCATACTAGGGCTATGTAGTGGGGAAAATCAATAGCTACAGTGCATTAATTTAAGGGTAATTCTGCTGGACATGTGTAGTTTAATTTGAGCTGATAAACATATATAGACAGACCAGAGAGAGACACTTGTGAAGAAGTTATGCAAGTTAAAAACTGAGCTTTATAATTCAGAAGGAAATCAACTTTACTTAATGTGCTTTGATCTTTATTATAGAGGCCTAACTTAGGCCTAGCTCAGACAATACAGAGCAGCTGTCACATACTGAAGGAGTAGATTTCTTCTGATCAAACTGAAATCAGCTAATATTACTATAAACTGCAAATGCTGTTTTATCCACTTCCTGATTTTTTTTTCTTTTTCCTGTCCAAGGATCCCTGAGGCTGCTGTTTATAATGACAAGATGATCGCAGCAATAAGCTATGTTATCTCACTGAAAGTGGAGCCACCACCAACTTTATCTCAAAATCTCTCAGTATCCCCCCTTATTACCATTCGCCTCACTCATACATTGGTAAGTGAAACTTCCAGTATACACTGTTATCATGATGACGGTTCCAATCTTTTTGCATCTCTATAGATTTCTCTGCATTGATGATGTTATGGTTGTGTTAGTGATGACTAAGCATCTATGAATGCAAAATATGTTGCTGTATAGAACCACAAAAGACTGACTAGTGAGTTCATTGATAAGAAGGTTATGTAGCAAGTATTGATTTTGGTCCTTTAGGATAGATTCTATTTATGTATGTGGGTACAATTAAAACAATTGTCTTACGATCACTGCATACTCACTGAGAAATGAGTATCTTTGTTAATCACCCAGGGTGGAGGTGGGGGGGTGTCCTTCCTTCCTTCCTAAAATGCAGTGAGCACCGACTTACTCAAGAAATTATTGTATAATAATATCATTATTAGAGATAGGTGGGGAATAGAAAAATGTGAAAATTTCCATTTTACACTGAGGCTTCCTCAGCAGTTCACCAGGGTTAGCCCTTGGCAGGCTGCTGCCACTGTATTTATCTGCGCCTCCATAGATACATGTACTTGCAGTGCCAGTTGGCCATGGATTGCCGTTCCCAAAGAACAGGAGCTGTGGGAAGTGGTGCAGACTGAGACACTGCTTCCTGAAGTTCCTATTGGCTGGGAATGGCAATCCGTGGCCAATGGGAGCTGCAATTGCCCGTACCTCTGTAGGTGCAGGTGAATACAGTGGTGGTGGCCCAACAGGGGTTAAACCGGGTAAATTGGATCCAGGCTACAGGCTGGTATTTGTCTACCACTGCTTTAAATGGACATTTTTCTGAGTTTTCTTTTCCCGTATTTGCTCTTTTGTAAGTATATGGGGCTAGAGAGAAAAAGTCTAAGAGCATGGCTCAGAAATAGTTACATGAGTTTGTCTTCAGAAAGTTCTGAATTATGTTCCCAGTGGCCTCTGAGAAGCAGGCACTTCTGGGGTGAGGGTTCTAGACGTTGTTTAAAGAAATGAATCTTGCTTCATTCATTCACATACCTCAATACTTCAATATGATGATTTTCAAACAACCCATTAAATTGCCCTGTACTTTTTCTGTATTCCATCTGTCAGTCATAGAGAAGAATCTACATGTTGGTGCAAGGATAGAAATGTGTGTTTTATTATTTGTCTTCTCTGATTTGACTATTAACTCATTTGGCAATAGAAAGTGTATGAATACCTAATACAGCATTGTTTACATTATATGAGTGGTCATGTCTGTGATAATTTCAGGCAGAAGGAATAAATATGTACATAAGAGAGCCTATGTGTATATATTGGTAAGTAACACTGAGGTGATAGGAGATGCAAAAAAAAAATGCATGTGCTTAATATGTTTCAGATAAAGTATCCTAAGTTTTCCTGAGCTTGACACTAGCCTCTATTTTAAAGCTTATCTCCTATTCACTGTATAGCTTTTTATTTCAAGGATAGGTTAAACATCTCAGCACTGTACCAAAAAATTAATTGCTGGTAATTTGGATGCTCGGAACTGTTAGAATGAAAGACTGTTGTTGGTTTGTACTCTGTGTACTACACTGTTCGGGAATCTTTGCCACAAGGGAATGAAGTCTGTGGATTTTTAGAGTTTAGTAGATTATAGCTGTGCATTCAACTGTTTTGATCTACAGGCCTAAACTCAGGCATATGTCAGTTTTGGATTCTGGAGGAAAGCGAGGTTGCTTTTTAGTGATGATAGAAACATGCCTTATGTGCAGTTTTGCGTGAGATAGAAATAGAGTTCCAGATCTTAGGGGTGCTATCGTTAAAAGTTAGAGACTCTGAGAATTAGACTGTGTCTAGATATCATGTCTTGGAGTTGCTCAAAAACGTTCCTTTCTAGTCCTTAGTAGCAAGAGTGATGCATGGAAAAATGACCAGATTTCTAAAATTCATCAATACAGCTGGGAGAAATTCTTTATCCAAAACCTTTTTCAGCTGAAAACTGCAAATTCAGGGTCAACTGAAACATTTTGTGAATATGGCTTATGCTTATCAAACTATTTTGGTTAAAAAAAACCCTGGAAAAAAATCAGAAAATTTTGAAAATCTTGAAATGCAGTTTTTAATTTTTTGTAATGCAAAAGAGTTTGTAGGTTTGAATTTTACCAGAATTTTCTTTTAAAAAAGATTTGCCAATACAAAGCATTATAAATGATTGCTTTGTGATTTGATAGTGCTTAGATAGGGTGTTAACGATGGCCAGCATGGATTTCTCAAAAAAGAATCATGCCAAGCCAATCTAATATCCTTTTTTGACAGACTTAATGGCCTAGCAGCTAGGAAGAAACATGTAGATGTGATCTATTTTGGTTTTAGTAAGGCTTTTCATATATGACATTCTTGTAAGCAAACTATGGAAATGTAGTCAGGATGAAATTGCTAACAGGTGGATGCACAATTAGTTGAAAAAGATACACTCAAAGAGTAGTTATCAGTGGTTTGCTGTCCAACTGGAAGGGTGTATCTAGTGGGGTACTACAATGGTCAGTTCTGGTTCCATTATTCAAAATTTTCACTAGAGTAGATAATGGAATTGAGAGTGTAGTTGTAAAATTTGTGGATGATGCCAAGATAGGAAAGGTTGCAAGTGCTTTAGAAAACAAGATTAGAATTCAAAAGAACTTTGATTGGTAAACAGGTCTGAAATCAGCAAAATGAAATTCAGGATAAATACATGCGAAGTACTGTGCTAAAGAAGGAAAAAATCAAATGCCCAATTACAGTGTGGGGAATAACCAGCTAGAAGGAGTACTTCTGTAAAGGATATGGAGGTTATAGTGGATCACAAAATGAGTCATGGGACGCAATTGCAAAAAAGGCTAATATCATTTTGGAATACATTCTGGAATACATCAACAGGAGTGTCATATGTAAGACATAGAAGGTGACTGTTCTGCTCTGTGTGCACTGGTGAGGCCTTGGCGGAAATACTGTGTCCAATTCTAGGCACCATGCTTTAGGAAAGATATAAACAAATTGGAGAGAATCCAGAGAGGAGCAAAAATAGTGATAAAAGGCTCACAAAACCTGACTTATGAGGAAAGATTAAAAATCCTGGGCATGTGTAATCTTAAGAATATGAGAGAGAGACCTGATATCAGTCTTCAGATATGTTAAATATATTATAAAGAGCACAGAGATCAATTGTTCTTTATGTCCACTGAAGATAGGACAAACAGTAATGAACTTAATCAGTAATAAGGGAGAGTTAGGTTAGATATTAGGAAATGTAACTACAAAACCCGTTAAACAAGCAATAGACTTTGAAAGGAGGTTTTTAAAAACCAAGATGACAAACACCTCTCAGGAATATGTCAGGTTTACCTGGTTCTGCCTCAGGTCCTGAGGTTGGAATTTTATGACTTCTTGAGGTTTTTTCCATCCCTGTATTTCCAGATTCTATGATTTGGCCTCAAACTATTTTTTGTAATGAAAACACTGAAGCAAAAATTCAGTTTTTTGTGAACCCAAATTGAATTTTTCCAGGAGTTGTTTATTTATTCATTGGGTTCAACAATCAAACCGAAAAATCAGTTATACCTATAGCTCTAATTGTTGGTTTGATGGAGTCACCTTGAGTGATATCTCTCTGTTTTCTTTTTGACAAGCTTACACATACATACATTTTCAATGCACTACAGCAGAGAGAGATACATCAATTCTGTTGGATTGTTTGGGATCGACTCTTAATAATATATCAAATGTATGCAGTTTGCAAACAAAGTGTTGGCTAGTTTTATTTGCCAGCTTGGCAAATTTATCCAGGGATCAGAATATTACTATGTGACCTGGAAAAGGCTGCCAGAGGAGCTGTGAATGGATGGTGATTAATGCACTACAGCAGAGAGAGATACATCAATTCTGTTGGATTGTTTGGGATCGACTCTTAATAATATATCAAATGTATGCAGTTTGCAAACAAAGTGTTGGCTAGTTTTATTTGCCAGCTTGGCAAATTTATCCAGGGATCAGAATATTACTATGTGACCTGGAAAAGGCTGCCAGAGGAGCTGTGAATGGATGGTGATTCTTCTCATGATGCGTTAGCACTGAAGATGACTTGTAGGGA